AATAGTGGAAGTTTACCTGTGTAAAATTAACAGTAATTCGTTTTGCAATGATAGATATTTAACTTTGGTTAAAAAATAAATGGCCTCTTTTTTCGTAATTTTTCCAATCCTAAAGAGCCATTTTCCTAGATTTAAATCAAAACAAAACCAAATGCATGATTTTGAGTCAACATAGTTCACAACGAAATCCGTCTGTTATCGCCACACCTCAGTCTCCTTCGGCACTTTGTTAAAATTTTATTTCACAGGCGTCACACCACGAGCTCCCTGATTGATACCTCGCTTTCTTTCTTCCCTCTATGTCCAAAATTTCGAAAAGGCTTACGGGAATTAAGTTTAATTAATTGGAATGTCGGTCGGAAAACGACGATGAGCAGCGACTATCTTGTGAATCTTGCTTTTCGAATTTCGATCGTTCGACGATGATGACAACGCTTTTTCAAATTTCTTTAGCACTATGTCTAGTCTTGTCGAGAAACATGCTCCTTTGAAAACCCTTTCAAAACGTAAGCTTAAGAAATTTTGTAAGCCGTGGATAACCAGTGGCCTCAAAAAACCATCAAAATGAAAAATTCTCTTTTTCAATCAGGGGATTTCGCACAATAGAAACTCTATCGAAACAAAATTTCCGCTCTGACAATTTTAATAACATAAAGACCTCTTGAAATGGTATAAAGCGGCCTTATCAATGCCAACAAGGAAAAATCTCAAGTCATCTCATCGATAAAACGCCTTAACGACAACAGTATAACAACTGATCCTCTTGAGATTTCAAACACTTTTAATGAATATTTCTCTTCTGTTGGCGAGAAACTAGCGTCGCGTGTACCACCCTCTTCTTGTAGTTTTACTGGCTTACTGTATTTTGCGAAACGAAACGAAACGAAATGAAACGAAACGAAACGAGTAAACCCGTACTGTATTTTGCAAAACCAGCTCTTCGAAGACTAGCGATATATAACTTATTTCTTCCGATTCGTAAACACAATTCGTAGATACAACTCGATGCAGTGATGATTTATAAATAAAGACTTTGAGCCAAATGGTCAGGAGTGCGCCGTTTCGCAAATTACAGATATGTAAATCTGTAATTTGCGAAACGAGCTCTTTGAAGACTCTAATGATATGTAACTTATTTCTTCCGATTCTATAACACTTTTCGTAGATACAACTCGATGCAGTGATGATTTTTTAATAAAGAGTTTGAGC